TCTCTCTCTCTCTCTCTCTCTCTCTCTCTCTCTCTCTCTCTCTCTCTTTTTGATGAGGCAGTTGGGGTTAAGTGACTTGCTCTGAGTCACACAGCTAGTGAGTGTTAAGTGTCTGAGGTTGGTTTTGAACTCAGGTCCTCCTGACTCCAGGGTCAGTGCTCTATTCACTGTGCCACCCCAAACTGCTACATTTTTTAAGGGTCCTGGATTCCTTTGTTCTCCTGAGTGTAAGACTCTACATACCCTAACCTCTGCGTGCCCCTTGGATTCAGCAGGTTCAGGGCAGGTTCTCAGAACCAGAACCAACATTGGGCCCCAGTGGTGGAAAGTCAGTCTGGGTATGTGTATCCTCACTTTCCTTTGTCTACTTAATCAGTATGCAATAAATCCAATAAATCCTGTAGTTAGATGAACAAAGTCTGAGACTGTCCAAGTGACTTGAAATCCTGGACTGTGCTGGTGGAACCCATTCCTTCTAGTCCAATTTATTTCATTTCACAAACACACATACACCTGCCCCACTCTTGCCACATCTGTGCCATTGGATTATTTGGGGTAGGACCACAGCTAGCTCCTTCACATATTTCTTTCACTATGAGCATTGCAGGAATTGGGTGGAAAGGATAGAGAGTCATTCACTTAATCATCTAACAAACATTTGATGAAGGAACAGAAAAGACTGGGAGTGAGGGATACAGAGAGGGCAGGAAGGCTGGTCCTCTATGAAGTCTCACCATCAAGTGGTTTTTAAAGGGAACATTTGTCTCTGAGACGAGGGAAAGCTGCAAACAGGTAAGAAGACTTCACACAGTAGGATTTGGATGTTAAGCTATCCTGAAGCGCCCTAAGCCATGGACCAGCCTCTTTCCTTACCGAGTCCTGAGGTATGGTGGGGAGTGCTAATTGATTACTGACCTACATGCAGCAGGAGTATGAAGGCGTATGTCACTGACACGGAGATGTCCACAGTACTTGGGGTGGGGATTAAGGGAAGCTGAGCATAAAGAGAGGACAGGAAAGTGTCTGTCACCTGCCTACTATCTTGTCAAGGAAATCCAGCCCGGGTGCCATCTTTGGTGGGTCAACAAGTCAACAAGCATTTATTAAGCCCCTACTCTGTACCACGCACCTGTGCTAAGCTCTATCTATTATGGTTGGACTGCTTTAGGCTGACCAGACATCCCATTGTTCCCATAGCCAATTCCTATCTGTT